CACGTGTCCCTTCTGTCACCTTTGGCCCACATCCTTACCCTGGCCCGTCACGTGCCCTCGCCAGCCAATCGGGCTGCTACGTCCTCAGATGCCCCTCTCCTCTCTGCCAGCCACCACACTACGCCCCCTAGGGACCAGCTCTATGACATTGCATGCCCTGCTGGCAGAGAGGGCTACTACACTCCCCGTTCCACTATCAGTAACTGGCGGTAAGCGCCGTAGTGACCCATTCTATGTCACCACACAAATAAACAGATAGAGACCACACAGACACATCAAACGCACACACAACTCCTGACGACGCTCTGGCCGGCAATTACTAAGCGCGTGTCCACGTGTCAGAGGTCGCAATCGGGTACCCGATACCCGTACCCTACCCGATACCCGGCTACCCTGGTAGCCGTTTGCGACCCTGGTGCGGCCGGGTACGGGTAGCCGGGTAGGCCGTGAGTCACTGGTGAGTAACCGTTTGTCACTCATTTCCCAACGTCTTGTCTCTTCTCACAATTCAAGTTCCTAGAATCAACCCACCCGCGCCTGCAACATGGCTTCATCCCAGAGGTCGCAATCAGGTACGCGTACCCGTACCCTACCCGATACCCGGCCGGGTACGGGTTTTCGGGTATCGGGTAGGGTACGGGTACCCGTTTGCGACCCTGGTGCGGCCGGGTACGGGTACGGGTAAAGAATCAAAACCCGTTTGCGACCTCTGCCACGTGTCTCACCCGCGAGTCCCACTCGTTGAGGGTCTTGATGTTGATGAAGGAGACCTCTCCGTTGGCCCCGGTCAGCACGGCGTCGTGCTCGCAGCGAACGATCAGTTCGATGTCCTCTCCCAGCTTCCACTTGCGGTACCTGCGGGAGGACGGAGGGGAGGGCCACGTTGCCGCGCGTGAGAATCGGGAGGCTCGCGACGGACGCTGCCTGGCGGAGTTAGGGGCAGTCGCCCCTACGGCAAAACTAAGGGCGGGGGGGGGATCGGGGCGAAGCTCGCAACAACGAGCGGAGCGCCACGCGTCTGGAACGAAGCGGAGCGGCGGAGTGGGGAGCACAGACGGTGCCATTTGCCGGTCATCTCAGGTCGGTCAAACGGGTCTGCCCCGTGACCTCCTGCACACAGCGAGCCTTAACAACACACTTCCCAATGTGCAAGTAGCCTGGCACAAGCGCTCTGGTGATATCCCTGCCGCCTAAGTGTCAAATGGCGGCCGTTGTTGTGAGTGCGAAGGTTGTGTGTGTGTGTGTGTGTGTGTGTGTGTGTGTGTGTGTGTGTGTGTGTGTGGTGTCCGGCAAAACAACCTCCTACCTCCTCGCGGTGCCGGACGGGCAACACTGTCGTGGGCAGTGCTGTGGGGGGAGGGCCAATGCCCATTGGCCTCTCCCCTCATGGCGTCTGTGACCACCACAGTGGCTAAACGGGGGCTCTGGACGGGTGTGAGGGGCTGGTAACCCCTCCACCTTCAATTACCACTCTAAACCACGAATTAAACATAAACCTGTAACAATAAGCTTGTGCCGGAGGCCCCGGGGGGTCAGGCTTTTATGAGTCTCCTGGCCAAACCCCATTTGGCGGAGCCAGGAGATTGAATTTTCACCCTCGGGGCTCCTCCAGAAACAACAAAAAACCATTGCGGATGGCCACGTGGACGGTTCCGAACGCTCACTGCCGAGGAGAGGCTGCCACTCCTCTGTCGGGAGCTGGACCGGTACCGCCCTGCGATCTCTGTGGCACTTCAGGAGGTCCGGTGGACGGTTCTGGCTCCTGCCACATGAGGGGTGGACAGTCCCTCTACTCGGGGCAGGATGACTGCAAACAACAGGGTGTGGCTCTTCTTCTCGAACAAAAGAATGAAGGGGGCGTGGGAGCGTGGCGGTGAGGTGTGGGACGCTGTAAGCCCCAGGATACTTTGGGCTCGCCTTCCCATCAACCGAGGCGAGGAGTGGTGGTCGTGGTTACTTATTGCCCCCACCGAAGACGAACATCGTGGAGGGATGCAAGCAAAGCCGATGAGTCAGACGCTTTCTATGACCTCCCTGTCACAGGTTGCTGGCTAAAGTGGCCACTCGGACAGAGTCATCTGTTGGGTGACTTCAATGCCCAGAGTTGGTATGATGCTGACACACTGGTCTGGAGTGATTGGAAGGCATGGGCCAGATCAGATCAATAATAACGGTAGGAGGCTGCTAGATTTTTTGTGCAGCCCATGGGCTTGTAATTACCAACACGCTCTTCGGCATCGGCGCATCCACAAAACATCATGGATAACATGCCGGGTCCCAGCAAGAACATCTGCTGGACTACATAGTGAACGGACCTCGGATGCGAACCCATGTCCTTGACACCAGGACCCTACGTGGAGCTGATCTGTCATCTGACCATCGACTAGTCATCTGTAAGATGCGCCTGCCTTTCTTCCACTCCGGTGGTGGGTGTACACCCAGGATCCCATTCCAACCAAAAGTGGCTGGTCTCAGTTACGCTGATGAAAGTTGCAAGCGAGAATTCATCACCGCTTGCAGCTGGGGTTGGCATAGTCCCCCACTCCACCTGATGTCGAGGGAAATGGGCGAGGTTTAAGGACTGTGACTCATGCAGCTGCAATGGCTGCTTTGGGTACGCGTCCAGACCTCCCCCAGAAACCCTGGCTGACAGAGGAGGTGTTCAGGTTAATTGAGAAAAAGCGACGGCCCACTCTCATCGCCCTACAGCCTCCCACGTCAGAGAATGAGGAGGTTTACCGCAGCCTTCGCTCGGAAGTTCGGAGAGCCGTAAGGCGTTGTAAGATGGGTGGTGGTCGCGGGTTGCTGAGGAGATGGAGTCTGCCTCAGTGGCTCCGTGATCACAAATCACTATTTAACTCCATCAAAAAGTAACCTGCAGCGCCACACTATTACCATCATTAGAGGACAAAACGGTGATCCAATCTCCGACCCCAGGAACAGGTTTGCAGATTTTTGCTGAGCATTTCTGTGAGGTCCTGGGGGAGGGAAATTCTCTCAGCCAGGAAAACATCATGGCACAAAGTGGTGATAACCCTGCTGAGGCTGCGGTGCCTCAAATATTGGAAGAGGTCACCCCCTGTGAGTGGCTGGCTGAGGTTCCAGCTGTTGAGGAAGTACTGAGGGCGATCCGGAGTCTGAGACCAGGGAAGGCATCGGGCAGAGATGATCTCCCAAGCGAAATGCTGAGGGAGGGTGGCGTTTGTGCACAGACTGCCCTATATGACATCATAACAACAGTCTGGACCACTGGACGGGTTCCGCAGGACTGGAAGGATGCCCTGGTGGTTCCCCTCTTTAAGAAGGGGGACCGTACCGACTGTAACAACTACAGGGGCATCTCACTCCTCAGTGTGCCGGGTAAGGTCCTGGCAAGGATTATTCAACATCGCCTTGCTAGGCACGCTGAGGAGAGGCTTGCGGAGCACCAATGCGGTTTCAGTAAAGGGCGGTCCTGCACAGATGCCATATTTTCTGTCCGTCTGCTACAGCAGAGGTGTAGGGAATTCCAAAAAGACCTACATCTCTGCTTTATTGACCTGGTCAAGGCCTATGATACCATCAGTAGGACTGGGCTCTGGGTTGTTCTTCGTGCTTTCGGAGTCCCTGACCCTCTGCTCACGATCATTAAGGACCTTCATGATGGTGAGCGGGCCCGGGTAAAACTACGTGGCCGGGAGTCGGAGCCTTTCCCTGTACCCTTGGGGTGCGACAGGGATGTCCTCTGGCTCCCACATTATTTAACATCTATTTTGACCGCGTAGTTCGTGAAGCCTTCAATAGCTGTACCGGGGAATTTCCATTTGGTACAGATATAATGGGAGGCTGATCGACGCCCGGGTGCGATCAAGGGATGGCTCCTATTGGTCAACCACGTTATGTATGCCGATGATTTGGTAATAGCTGCTCATTCAGAAGAGGAGTTGGAGAGCGTGCTGCTGAGACTGGAGCGTGCCACTAAGAGGTGGGGCCTTACCATCAGCCCCACCAAAACCTAAGCACCTGCCTGGGTATTTTGTACCATCGGACACTCCACCCCCACAACTCCCAATTGGTGATGGGGCAGTTGTGGAGAGAGTGGAGAGTTTCCCATACCTGGGCAGTATGCTTATGACCGGCTCCCGTCTATCAGCAGAGGTCTCACTCCGAATCAGTCGAGCGGCAATATCTTTTCATCGGTTGCGTAACGCTGTGTGGAAGCTACCTGGTCTGTCGCTCCGCACGAAGCTTCAGGGTCTTCTCGGCCACGGTCATTCCCTCCCTTCTCTACGCTTGCGAGACGTGGACCCCCCTGGTGGAGCATCTTCGCCGGTTGGAAACATTTAGGCTGGCCTGCCTACGATCCATCCTGGGTTTAACCAGGCTTGATTGTGTGAGGAGCTCACAAATCCTTGAAAGATCTGGGCAAAGTCCCATCAGTGAGCTCCTCCGGCAGGCAAGGCTGCGTTGGCTGGGTCATGTAGCCCGCATGCCCAGCCACCGCATGCCTAAACAGCTTTTGTTCGGCCGGATCGAGGGGGCTAGACGGGCGCGGCACGGGCTGGAGAAGAGATGGAGTGATGTGGTACAGGAGGACGGTGGAGCTGAGTGGACTTGCGATGACTGGTACCAGCGGTGTCAAGATCGGCCTCAGTGGGAGGAGGCTCGTGAAGGACGCTACTGGGCAGTTGGAGGCAGTCGCCCTCCAAACAACAACGGAGGGCAGGAGGAGCGACGCTCACAGACAAACGAGGCGGAGCGCCGGGGTGCTAAAGCACAGCAAGGTCGGCACAGTAGGGGGCACAGGTGGTGCATCAGCCAAGTATCTCGGTCATCTCGGTCAGTCGACCCGTGGCAACCTGGGTCTGCCCCGTGACCTCCTGCCCAGCGGGCTTTCGACACTTCACGTGGCCTCAAGGTGCACTTGGCCTGGAACAAGCATCGTGGTGACGTCACCGCCACTTAGTGGCGAATGGCGGTTGTTGTTGTTGTTGTGTGTGCGTGTGTGTGGGTGTGTGTGTGTGTGTGTGTAGGTGTGTGTGTAGTGTGTGTGTAGGTGTGTGTGTATGTGTGTGTGGTGTTGCGTGTGTGTGTAGGTGTGTGTGTGCGTGTGTGTTGGTTAACAGTGGGGGGCGGTAGTGTAACGGTTAGCGCGCTGCGCTACGAACCCAGCGGCCCGGGTTCAATTCTCACTCACGGCCAACACGGTGACGATTATCTGAACCGGTTCAGGGCTTCCCCCTAGGTCGACTCAGCCTCAAATGAGTACCTGGTGCGGTGTGTAAACAGCGTCAACTAGAGAGACAAAGGTGGATGGGCGTGGTGCTGGCCATCAAAACCTCTCGTGTGCCGTGTCGGCCTTCATAGGTGCTCGCTAACAGCACTTGCCCCAACAAGTCTTAAAGGCTACACGGGGGATCTGTGTGTAGGAAGTGGTGGAGCAGTGGCTAGCGCATCGCTTACAAACATCAAACCCAGTAGTGGAGCGATATCTGAACAGTCCTGGGCCTCCTCTAGGTCGACTCGGCCTTAAACAACTGTTGTGTAAATAGCAGCACTGGGGAGACAAAGGAGGCCTGACATGGTGCTAGCCACCCCCCGCCCCCTCAGCCTTAATAGGTGCTCACTAACCGCACGTTTTTTTATAAACAAACACCGATCATAATCTCATTGTATATCTGCCACAGATAATCTAAAAGGTTCCACGTATTTCGGAAGTAGATCCGCGGATTTCTTTCGGGTCCAGCCCTGATACACGGCGCTACAGAGTTATGTTTGGGATCCGCGGATTTCTTTCGGGTCCACCCTGCCGAGACGGCGCTTCAGAATTCTGTTTGAGATCTCAGTTTGTGGTTAAACGTAAAACGCGTGCACGTGCGCACAAACACGTTGGGGGAGGATCTCACCTGTAGCCCACAGACGCAACTTCCGCTCCCTGGAGGTCATCCTCCGTGAAGGGGTTGGGCTTGGGGAACTTGTACTTCTCTGCACCCTGAACACAGCACAAAGATCCCTATTTAGCCTTAACAGACTTGTAGGGGTGGGGAGGGTCTGGGTGGGGAGGTGGGGCTGGGTGGGGAGGGTCTGGGTGGGGAGGGAGGGTCTGGGTGGGGAGGGTGGGGCTGGGTGGGGAGGGCTGGGTGGGGAGGGGCTGGGTGGGGAGGGGCTGGGTGGGAAGGGAGGGGCTGGGTGGGGAGGGTGGGGCTGGGTGGAGAGGGGCTGGGTGGGGAGGGGCTGGGTGGGGAGGGGCTGGGTGGGGAGGGGTGCTGGGTGGGGAGGGTGGGCTGGGTGGGGGGTGGGAGGGGTGGGGCTGGGTGGGGAGGGGCTGGTCACCCCGTGGTGCCCTTATAAAACTCAACGTTTAACCTACTCACGCCGGCTTGTGCCCGCCCTCACAGTCGGGCATATTTGCGGAATACACCACGCCGCCGTTGACCCTGCAGGCCATTGACCGAGCAACCCAACGTTCCTACCAGCTCCCTCCGCAGGACAACGTGTTTATAAAGCCCACAGAAAACCAGCGGTCGCGCTACAGGAGCGCAATGGGGTGAGAACTGTACCTCAACACGTGTGGCGTGGACGGTCAAAGCCGGGATAAGGAAAACCCGCGATGGGGAAAGTTTGAGTGTCGGTGGCGATCCATTCATACCCCATTGTCACATCTCCTCCCCGCGTCTCCCATCTGTCCACTGTGCCCCCACCCCGCTGGTTATCCCCACGTGCCCATGTCCCCCACCCCCATGTGTCCCGCGCGTGCCCGTGTCTTCGTGTCTCCCATCTCTCCCCCCTGTCTCCCATCTCCCCCCCGCGTCTCCCATCTCCTCCCCGTGTGTCTCCGTGTCTCCCCCTCATGTCCCCGCTTATGCCTGTATCCCCCACGTGTGCCCGTGTCTCCCATCTCCCCGCCGTGTGCCCCCGTAAGCCTGTGTCCCTGTGTCTCCCATCTCCCCCTGTGTCCTTGTGTGTGCCTGTGTGTCCCTGTGTCTTCCATCTCCCCCATGTGTTCCTATGTCTCTAATCTCGCCCCCTCATGTGTCCCCGTGTGCGCCCAGCCCCCCGCCGTGTCCCTGCGCGTGCCCGTGCGTGGCACACCATCTTGAGGCACTGCTGGGAGAAGTTGTGGTTGATGAAGGTGGCCTCGAGTGCGAGGTTCCGGGGGGAGTTGATGGCGTTCCCCTCCTCCTGCGGGGGCTCGTTCGCCGTCTCGCTCACCGTCAGCAGGTCTGACGCACGCGCACACGACAAGAGTTTAACACGCAGAAGTGGCGGCGGCGGGACGCTTTCGCGACCAATATCATCCACAAGAGGCTTTTTGGGTTAGAACGCGTAAATACAAATGCGTCAATTCGTCACTCGTACAGCACTAACCGGTGTGTTGGAGAGCCAAGCCACAACATTCACAATCAGAGTCCGACGTCTCGCCGACGACGACGACAACCGCCGTTAAGTGGCGGTGACGTCACTAAGGCGCTTGTGCCATGCCGGGGGCACTTTTGAGGCCACGTCAAAGTGGTCTCAACAACACCGTGGATCGTGCCCGTCGTACTCGCT